TTTCCTATCTTTGGAGTTTCAGGTTTGTTTCCTATCTTTGGAGTTTCAGCTTTGTTTCCTATCTTTGGAGTTTCAGGTTTGTTTCCTATCTTTGGAGTTTCAGGTTTGTTTCCTATATTTGGAGTTTCAGGTTTGTTTCCTATCTTTGGAGTTTCAGGTTTGTTTCCTATCTTTGGAGTTTCCGCGGACTGGGTGATATAATCACTAAAGACCTGGGATTTATCCTTTTCCCCAAAGTCACCCTCTGCTTCTGGTGTTACACTATCATTGGATTCTTGTGGTTCCTCCATTTCCACGTTGGGATTTTCTTCTTTTGGTGTTACACTATTGATGGATACTTGTGGTTCCTCCATTTTAACAAAGTCACCCTCTGCTTCTGGTGTCACAATATTGGTGGATTCCTCCTTTCCAAACAGGTAATTTCCTTCTGAAGGAGAGACCAAAGCATTTTGGTCATTTGCTTTGACATCTTCTGACTGAAGCTCATCAGAATAAACAGGAACCTGCGACTGGTCTTGCCAGAATTTGTGTTCAGAGATCGTTGTTCCATATTCTGACCAGGTATAAAATCCTTGAGAAGGTTCTCCTGTAAGGTATTGAGGATACTCGCAGAAACCTTCTGGAACCTGGTACTGGTTTGGCCAGAAGTTGTGTTCAGAGGTCTGTGTTATATATTCTGACCAGTTGTAGCATCCATAATATGGGTCTACTGTAAGGTATTGAGGATACATGGAGAAGTCGTCAAGAACCTGGTACTGGTTTTGCCAGAAGTCTTTTTCAGAGGTTGGTGTTATATATTCTGACCAGTTGTAAACTCCTTGAAAAGGTTCTACTGTACCATATTGAGGATACATGGAGAAACCCTCAGGAACCTGGTACTGGTCATGTTCAGAGGTTGTTGTTCCATATTCTGACCAGTTGTAGCATCCATAATATGGGTCTACTGTAAGGTATTGAGGATACATGGAGAAACCTTCAAAAACCTTGTACTGGTTCATGTTCGTGTGCCAGAGGTCATGTTCGGAGGTTGTTGTTCCATATTCTGACCAGGTGTAAACTCCATAATATGGGTCTACTGTGATGTATTGAGGATACATAGAGAAATCTTCAGGAACCTGGTACTGGTCGTTTTCAGAGGTTGTTGTTATATATTCTGACCAGGTGAAAACTCCTTGAGAAGGTTCTACTGTAAGGTATTGAGAATACTTGCAGAAACCATCAGGAACCTGGTACTGGTTTTGCACGAGGTCGTTTTCAGAGGTCTGTGTTATATATTCTGACCAGGTGTTACTTCCTTGAGAAGGTTCTCCTGTAAGGTATTGAGGATACATGCAGAAACCCTCAGGAACCTGGTACTGGTTGTTTTCAGAGGTTTGTGTTATATATTCTGACCAGGTGTAAACTCCTTGAATAGGTTCTACTGTACCATATTGAGGATACATAGAGAAACCCTCAGGAACCTCAACCTCTTCTACCATGTTGGTTGAGAGGAGAATGGTATTCGGTACTTCGGTTTGACTCATTTTTGCTTATTTGCTTTAAGCCGTGGTTTAGATTACTTGATAAGTAATTAAACCTGGTTTAAGGTGGTAGAAAAAGGCTGTGACAGTACTCTGGAAAACTTCTGACCCACTGAGGAAGATTCTGTGCGGGGCTCTATTTATATCCTCTGGTGTGATGTCATGGGGAAACCGTGATGTCACAGTGAGTGACATCAATCAGTGGAATCCCAGATTTTTTTCAAAATTCTTTTTTTTTTTTTGTTTTCTTCTAAACAAAATGGAATGAACCATCGTATGCCACCAAATTACAACAAATGACATCTAAGAGGTTTGCAAATAAATGGCCAAATTAATGCCATGTACAGTCTTGTTTAGTGTAATGCAGCAATCTACTAAAATCTACATTTAATTCCAAAATAGTTAAATATAACCAATATCTTGATATCTGGACAGGGCCCAGGCTATGGGCTCGTTTCTTAAAGGTCAAATGCGAGTCCTTTACATTTGTTTGATTAAAAATAGGTTATTTTTATGCTGTCTTTTTTTTAAATTCATATCAACATTAATGACAACTGTTCATTTATTGGGTGATTTTTGTTATTTATGGATCATTTATTCGTCTCTCTGTTCTGTGGTTCCAAATTCAGGTTCTGGATGGAACTGAGGTCCAGATTCCAGAGTTCTGATCAATATTCTCTGTTTAGAATCTCTGGACCATTTCAGCACAATTCTGCATGTTATTTACAAGTTAGCCACAAAGTTTTTGACATTTTTTTTTCTTTGTTTTTGCTTTTTAAATGGCTTTATGCAAACGAAGCAGGAAATCTCTGTAAAATAAAATAAAAATATTAAGAATAAACTCATATCCGATACTTGAGGAGAAAAGTAGGATAGTTCAAAAGAATTTAAAAGGCAGGAATAGGTATGAAACATTAGTAAAACTGTGTAAAAAGACACTATCATTTTGATTTTGATTTTGTTTCATAAAGACAAAATGCATCTTGTTGCGTTTGATGACTAACAGAATCATTTTAAGGAACAAAATGCTGAAGATAGAAGATTATTTTGTGATTTAACAAGGTTAACCTGGTTAAAAAGTAGTTAACTGTCCCTGTATTGTATCTTCATAGAGAAGTTGAGAAGTTAATGACTGTTATGAACAGACTGATATTGTCGGATTAAACATTTACACTGATTACACACAATATTTTATTTTATTATTTATTATCATTATTATTATTTTATTTTATTTTATTCTATATTTTTATTTCTACATTGTATGTCTTTTCTTGCTTCTCATTGAAGTGTTGTGCACCAAACACAGAGGCAAATTCCTTGTAAGTGAAAAACCTACTTGGCAATAAACCTTATTCTTTTGCTGTTATTGTTTGTTAGTTTGTGTGTTTGTTTGCATGGTTTTGTTGTCTCTCTTTCCTTTTTTTTTCTCTCCTCTCTTCCTGTTTTAGGAATCTCTTTCTTTTTTCCCCTTTCCTGTCCCCCGGTCATGTTTGGCATTAGCCATATTACTTATGTAACAAAAATAAATCCTAAATAAATAATAAAGCAGTATGGGATGATCAGGGGAGGGTTCTCACCCTGACAGGCCTCCCCTATTAAAGCAAAAGTGTATGAAACTCAGATTACAATTCTGTTGCTATAATACCAAACACGACAAGGGGGAAAAAAAATAAATAATAATAAAATAAAAAAATAAAATAAAAAAATAAACCTTATTCTGATTCTGATTTAATCCACATTTCTCCCGTCTTTCATCTTTCATCAGATAATAATTCTGTTGCCATAATGCCAAACACGACAAGGGGAAAATAAATAAATAAATAAAATAAAAAAATAAACCTTATTCTGATTCTGATTCTGATTCTGATTTAATCCACATTTCTCCCGTCTTTCATCTTTCATCAGATTACAATTCTGTTGCCATAATGCCAAACACGACAAGGGGAAAATAAATAAATAAAAAAATTAAAAAATAAACCTTATTCTGATCCTGGTTCTGATTCTGATTTAATCCACATTTCTTTCATCTTCTGAGAGCATCCCCAGGAACTCCCAAAGGTGAAGCAGTTTTTGTTCTGGAGAGGAATCCATTAACCTTTGGAGGCTTTGTGCCTGTGGTTTATTTACTGACCGGGGCTTTGATAATTTCCCCTTCTCCCCGTTTATCAGCACGCCGCGCCATTTTAAGCAATTAGCATTAAAATGAGCTCTGGGTTTTTGTTATTTTGGCTGTGTGGTCTCCTTATTTGTGTTTTTTTTTGCCCTCCTGGATTCGTCACATGCAAACGGCCCTTTGACAGGAGAAGTTCAGAAAAGGTTGGAGAGGGAAATCCACACGTCTGTGTTCTGTATTATCCTTAAATTTAATTCAGTTTTATCTATATAGCACCACATCACAACTAGAGGCTGACATTTTTTCGGGAATCCCACGGGATTCCCGTGAGATTCCCGTGGGATTCCTGCGGGATGGGAGTCATCTTTGCTATTAATCAGGGGATTTAGACGGTAGGATAAATGGTTAAAGGAGCAGACGGGAATCAACCAATAGCAAAGACGAAAAAAAAAAAAAGTAAATGCACCATTTTGTAGTTTCCTTTTGATCATTGATAAAAGTTCTCTTGAAACAAGGAAATAGTCTATACGTGAGCGGGACTTATGTATACCCGAGTGACAAGAGAATTCTATTTTATCAGGATTTTGTTCTCTCCACACTTCCACCAGGTTGATATCCAATATATATTGACTTATTAATTTCCTAGTTTGATTTTTATAAGCATCTGGGCCAATTGATCGGTCAATATTTGGGTTTAAAGTGCAGTTGAAATCTCCTCCAATTACATAAAGTCCTTTAAGAGTAGATATAGTAAGAAACAGGTCTTCAAAATTTTTTGGCTTATTTTCATTTGGACCATATAAACTCACTAAATTTAAAGTAAATGAGAAAATGTTACCCTGGACAATTACATACCTACCAGCTGAATCTTTTATTGTTCTTACAATTTGAAATGGTATGCTTTTATGGATCAAAATAATTACGCCTCTTGCATAATTATTATATGATGCATATATCACCTGGCCCTGTAGTTTCCTTTTAATATCCCTACAATGGAACGCAATTAAAAAATAACGACATGACCCAGAAGCCATCAGGGCTTTTTGTCACGGCTTAAAAAGAATTCAAAATTCAAAGAGCAGTGATGGAGGAGCTAAAAAACATGATTTACAGCGCAAAGTCAGAAGTAAAGACATGTCTATTAAGTTCACAGAACTGGTCAGAAAGTCTGAAATATTATATAAGTTTATGAGAGTAGAATGTACACTGCTTCTAAGACATGTTTACATGTTTAATTCAGGAAAGAATCAGCCAAGCGTAATTAGTGAAAATCGTTAACATGTAATTAAAAAAGTATATAAATGTAAACTACAAATGTTTTGTTTACTCCACAATAAATGAGTAAAATGCAGCTTTATGTGCTGTTTGGGTTCATTAAACTATTGTCGACATGGTGTGAACTGTAGGCTACAGTTTTTCTTTTATTTGCTGTATTCCTTTTTGTGGAGAAAATCTAGAAACAGGGGCTGAGCAACTGGTCTAAAACAGGATGGAGACTGGAGAGCACATTAAATCAAATTCTACGTATTAACTAAACACTAATTGAAGAAAAAAAAAATATGAGAGCGGTACAGGAGTTTAAACAGGAGCGGGATAGGATGGGATTATTTTTAAACTTTGGTCTGGGAGGAGGATGACACAGGAGTGAAAATCCACTCCCGTGTCATCCTCTAATCACAACAACAGCTATCTCACAGCTTTTTGGCATAAATGTGGAGGAAAAGATGGAGGATGAAGCCGGCTTCTCTGAAGAAGGCGAATAGCATCCAGACTGGTCAACTTTTGGACACTTTTGTGAATTAAATGTCATAATTTGGACCCTGAACGCCTCACATTGTGCTCAGGCCTTTGACCAGGCTGCAGGATTAAAAAAGGAGAAGAAACAGTTTATAGGGTTCACCTCTCTCTCCTGCATTATTTCTTTTGTGAAATGAACCATTAGCACAATATTTCAGATATCAAGTTATCTCACCTATTCAAATCAAAGTGTTTAGGCATGTGATATCTTTGTTTGCAGATGATATTATCTTGTAAATGTCAGATTTACAGAAATCCCTCAATGCCTTAATACCCGTATTTGATGAATTTGAGGCTATATCTGGTTATAAAATTAACCCTTTAATGCCAAATGTGTCATATTTGATACTGTTTCTGAAATGTTTTGCGTCTGACACCTTTTGCATAATTTAATGGTAAAAACTTTGCTCTAAATCCTATTGTACACAATCAGATACACCTGATAACAGGGGGCAGAAGACTACACAAAAATAATCTGGACTTATCAAATAGTAATAAATTAGTAATATCAAAAATGTATTTCTGTTTTTTCTTT